GGCTTCGAGGAAATGTCAGGGGTCTAAACAGACTCCTGACATTTCCTTTTTGAATTAGAAAAAAGTTCTAAATGAATGGAAAGCATTCCCATTCATTCAGAAACTGGTGATAGTAAAATATTTACTATCACCAGTTTCGGAATGGGTAGAAGCCTCTGTACTGAGTGCTTCTTCCTATTGAGAAACGCATGAATGAACAGAAAGTGATGTAAAGCACTTCCTATTCATTCATAGCTGTACTATGTGTTCCCAGTTGTTTACAAACATTGGAGTGATCACTGCAGTGTTTGTTCTGCCCAGAGGATCGGTAAATATCACAGATATTTACCTAGCCTCCGCTTTGTCAGGCACAGAGATGCTGTCATCCTGAAACTGACAGGATGATAGCATATCTCTTTCCAGAGGCTCCTCTGCACACTGCTCAGCCATCCAGAAAGCAGGCAGCGATCTCTACTCCACCCACCTCGAATTTTCTTTAAAAGCTCTCAACAGCGGCTTGTCAGCCACTGATGACAGCTATTATTTTAAAGGGGACCCTCAGGGGAACCGTTCTGATATAAGTTCATAGTCGCTAAGGCCATGACCTTATAGCAGAATGGAGAAAGCCACCGACATATGGCATACTGACGTGGCCAGCTGGAAACAGTTGTGTTCTGCCGTATGCCATACATCAGTGGCAAGGAAAAGGTTAACAGACCAAATAAGAGAAGTTCATTGTTAGGGTTTACATACACACTAAAGCTACTGGCGGATTGCAATATACACTGAGTGGCCAGATTATTATGACCACCCAATCAGTACTTCGTTGGGCCACCTTTTGCCTTCAATACTGTGGCGATTCTTCTTGGCATTGACTCTGCGAGATGTTGAAAGGTGATGCGAGGAATCTGACACCATGCCTGATGAATAGCACTGTCCACTTCTGTGAGATTTGATGGTTGAGGAACCAGCTGCCTGATGGCTCTTTCAACTTCGTCCCACAAATACTCAATTGGATTGAGATCTGGTGATTGTGGGGGCCACCTAAGCAAGGTAAATTCTCCCTCATGTTCTTGAAACCACTCCTGCACAATACGAGACCGTGGCATGGCGCATTGTCTTGTTGGAAGAAGCCATCTCCATTGGGATACGCCATCAACATGATAGGAAACATGCCCCAAACCATAACACTGCCCCCACCAGCTTGAAGGGTTGTACTCATGCATGTGGGGTGCATGCTTTCATGCTGTTTCCGCCAAATTCTCACTCTGCCATCTGCATGATGCAACTGGAAACGTGATTCATCAGACCACATGACTTTTTTCCAATGCTCGACTGTCCAATCCTTGTGTTCCTGTGCGAATTGGAGACGTTTTATCTTGTTAACTGCAGACAGCAAAGGTGTTCGAACAGGCCTTCGGCTTCCATATCCCATACAATGCAGTGTACGGCGAACAGTGCGTTCAGAGATCATTTGAGAGGATCCCTGATTAAGATCTGCAGTAATTTGATGCACTGTTGCCCTTCTGTTGTCTTGTACCAGTCTTGCCACTCTCCGTTCTGCCCTAACATTGACTAGTTGCTGACGGCCACAATTCGCACGTTCAGACCCAGATTTTCAGCTGACAGTCAAGTCTTTAAACGCTTTAACAACAGCTGCTCTTGAACATTTAACGAATTCTGCTGTTTTGCTGAGACTCGCTCCATGGCTTTGAGCGCCAACAATCATCCCATGTTCAAAGGCTGTTAAATCGCGTTGTTTACCCATATCTTCAGAAACAAATCACTTCTACTGTCGTGGTAAACAACCTGCTTCCCTATTTATAAGGGTCAGGCCCTCTAGCAACTTCAGCGCAAAATTATAGCTAATTTGCCTACAAACGTTAGGTGGTAATAATAATCTGGCCACTCAGTGTATATGTAATTTTTATTTCTCCCATAGTCCCAGTTCAAATTTTGAGAACTGTACCCAGGCATGGTTTAATATAAAATAACTTACCTTTAACCAATTGTGGGAACGCTTTGCAATTTCATATGTGGCATTCTCCTCTAGAGTTTTTACCATCAGGCCTTCACAAGAATCTAAAAATTAAATATTAAAAGTGAATATTGTTTGCAGTTATTTTAGGAAGCAAAACATCAAAATGTTTACCTGGCTGCTGTACCTTTAATTGACTGATCAAGAAACTCTGATATTTCATCTGTGTTTGATGTGTCCATATATGTAGCAAACATGAATTCTCCTTCCACCTCTTGAAAAGACTCTCTTAGTAGCTGGCGTCTTCTAGAAAATGGTTCTCTAACTAGAGACTTGAAGCAGAAGAAAAACATTAAACTTTTTTCTTCTTTAATGGCTACATGGTATTCAGCTTTAAACCTAATTCCACACAAGTCAGGCACATGAGCACCCAGAAACATGAGCAGGCATGAGGTAAGACATGTCTTGGTGGAAGTAATTAAGATAAGACCACAATAAGACTGAAGCTGAATTGAAAAAATTCATGGAGGAAAAAAGGGACAAAGGGAACAATGGCTGGCTTTATCCTCCTATATGTCAACCACAATATGTTTTAAAAGAATAGAAAGGACTTACCTCTCCATTTAAATACAGCATGTCAAAAGCATACACACACACTTGGACTTTTATTTCTGAAGCTTCCACATCCTAAAACAAAATAATATTTATTTTAAAATAAGATTTGTGGTGTGGATTTGAAGTAGTTTATAATGACAGTTCAAGTGACAAACACTTGCGCTTGATGTACTAAATATTAAAAAATCTAAACTTCAAGACATACAGACACAGAATATCAAGCAAATTGACGTTGGAAGGCCTGGCACGGAAAGGCATACGCCCAAAAAGAGGTAAAAGGCAACATATACGAACCTTTATTTTCTGCTAGTATCACATTGTTCCACAGAATGACAGGCCCGAGGCTGGGCATCTTTTACAGGAGAAGCCTTATCTGTTCAGCCTTGTGCTGTTCATCATGCGCTATGTTAATAGTCTCTACTCTCCAAACAATAGTCTTCTCTTGAACAAACAGATTTCTCTTGCTTTTACCACAAACACAAATACCCATTCTGCCACAATGAACAGAACAGTGGTAGTTCCTCCTCTATAAATCAGTGGAATCAAGGCACTTTTGTTAACAGTGGCTTGAGACAAAACTGTCAAATCAGCCTATAGCAAGAATGTCCTTTGCTATGTATGCACCAAGATGGAGGTTCTCATAGATTAGTTAGATCACACTACACAGAGGGGCCATGGCGAGACAGTGCGGCTTCCACATATTTTGCAAAAGTTGCGCAACTAAAACCTCTGTTTTTAAACACTACAAGTTAGACACCGTATATTTTGTTGTAGACTGGCTGGTGAGTGTGCTGGGAAATTTTTGATTTTGTATACAGGCAGTCCCCAGTTACATACATACGACTCCTACTTACAAGCAGAGGCTCGGAGGCGAATACTGTAAAGCAGGGGTAGTTGTAATGCTACCGCGCTCGTGCTGACAAGGAGTGCCCTCCTTTCTGGATCTGGTTCGTAGTACTGTACGTGCATTCAGGAAGTTGGCTCTTAGACGTGCAGACGACGGGTGCCCACCTTTTCTTCCAGGTCACTGTGAGGATTTTACTGCTGTCTGTATCCTCATTAGAAAGATTTAATCTCACGTTGTGTCCTTGAGACAACAGGAAGTGAAAGGAAATCTACCCCTAGGAAGGGAAATTCACTCCTGTAAGAGTTACTATGGGGAAAAAGGTGTCTCCAATGAAGCTTTATCACCAATCCTTGTTTCCACAACAACCTAAAATTTTAAAAATCTAATTGTCACAGAAAGTGAGGTGAAATCGTCTGAACAGAGGCACACACAGCAAAACAAACTTTACAGGAGGTTAACCCTTCCCTATGCTATCCAAAACAAGAAAACATGTACCTGTTCCAACTTACATGCAAATTCAACTTAGGAACAGGCCTGCAGTCCCTATCTTGTTCGTAACCCAGGGACTGCCTGTATTAAGAATATGTCTGTACGGTGGTAAATTATTAGAGTATAAAGAAAACACGTGCTGTGGTAAGTATAGAAGTTACCAATTCTTACATCCACCTGAAAATGTTAGCTGCTTGGTTGTCACAGACTGGCAAAGTATACAGTTGGTATCACATCACAATAATATCCAGGTAACTAGCCTTTTTTAGAGCAGATGTCAGCAATGAAAGCCTTCATATATCATTTCATCATCAAGGATTTCTTAAAAAGTTATAAATATTTTTATCTAAAACCTTGTTGGCATCCAATGACATAAATGATAATATACAGGATTCCTGCAATTAAGAAGCGAGTCCTAGTGGTGCACACTCATCAGAAACTTATATTAACCATTTACATACAATGCACTAGTTAAATTAGTGGTGGGCAAACTCTGGCCCTCCATCTGTAGTGAAACTACAAATCCCATCATGCATCTGTCTCTGGGAGTCATGCCTGTGACAATCTTGCAATGCCTCATGAGATTTGTAGTTCCACAGCAGCTGGAGGGCCATTAGATAATTATGAACTATTAAAAGAAGAAACACAGGACTCAGCTAGAAACGGCAGTAAAAAAAATACTATGTCAAACAAACCTTTCGTTTTCTAGTAGTGAGCACTTGGAAGGGCTGGATCTGCTTTTTCTGTGGGTCCCATGCAACAGCCTCTGAATCAATGATACAAGACTTTACACTGTCTTTCTTTACCTACAATAATAAAAACAAGACTTTACACTGTCTTTCTTTACCTACAATAATAAAAACAAACACAAAATGTAAAATTAAAAAATGACATTGATTTGTCTGCGTTATATACATTTGTATGACTGGAAGGAAAAACAACGGCCATGAATCTGAACTCCAGCGCAGAGAAAATACATACATGCTTTACATGCAAAGGATTTGTAATTATGTTCAGACAGTCTTGTGAGTGAAACAACTTCACCACAAAGGCATATCCAAGCAAGAGACTACTTTCCACTTGATTGTTCCGTCTTCCCTGGTCACGTGCATGCTTTCTGGGTAATGAAATAGCATTCACCATACTGATCATTGTGGGCGTGCAGCAAATGTGGCTTCCACACCTTATTGCAGGGCTAGATGCATCTTTTAGAATAAATGAACAGTTTTAAACACTGTAAACCACCGCCTGACACCCATTTGCAGAGATAGTGTTTTTTATCTGCGGAAACTATGGTCATTCTAATGATCGCCGTCAGAAACCTAACTAAGCTTCCTCAATTGGAAGAAAGCAGTGCTTTGGTTAGACACTGTCCCTCTTCCAGGGTGGAATCATGGCAATGCAATAAAGATATGACATAGGGGTGCAACAAATACACCTTTGTCTCTTGAGGGGGTTCTGTTAGACAAAGAAGAAAGGCTGCCTGGGTGCAGCTCAGAAGAATGAATACAAAACAGTTAAAGAAAACACTCACAGGAAAGAATGAGTAATTCAGCTTAGCGATACCAACTTCCCAGTGGAGCAAAAAATGGTTACCTTGTCGCAATGAATCTGATTATTCATCATTCACTTTTACACTAAGACTTTGAGTATGCCTATTCTTTATGTGCATCTGTCATACACGCATGTTATTCTCATTATGTAAAAAGCAAAGATGTGAATAACAGTCCACAAACCTAAATACTCATTTATTAGATACCAACAACAGATTATTACCTTGGGAATTCTGCCGATTATGTCCGGATATTTTGATGTATTGTTTTCCTGATTTCTGCTGTATACGTGCACTTCTCCATTCTCCAGAATATGTATCTATACGGGGAAGAAAACAAAACACTCAACAAAGCAGTCACTATTGTTTTGGTGACATGTTCCTGACGTTTTTGTTTTTATTTTTCCTTTCCCTTGGTAAAAAGAAAGAGTGGCAACCGATATAACGTATCTTATTTGTGATGAAAAGTAAGGATAAGTCATCAGCATTTCAAAACGCAAAGAAAATATTGTTTATTGCAAATAACGTCATTTAGGTCAGAATAGCCAAAGTTTTGGGGCCACGCAGAGTTACTTCCTCAAAGCGACACAGTGACAAATGCATATGACAGTGAACACTTGTATATATACACATGTGCTAATACAGACTAGACCGATATGACGTTTTTTGCAACAAACAATATTTTCTTTGCATTTTGAAGTGCTGGTGACCTATCTTCACATCTCTGAGGTTCTGCACGGCGCAATCCATGGCAGTCACTATGGGCACCTATCTTATCTACACTGGTCACAACACTGTATGGTGTGCAGCAGGCAATTTCAACTATTTGTGATGAAGACATTAGGACTATACACTAGCAACAAAAATTAATGTATATATTGTTACCCTGTCCATACTAAGACAAGCACAGGTTATTAACATAGCTGTGCAAGTTTTGACTTGGCTTGTAAAGGGCCAAAAATGACGACTCCCCAACATGAGACACTGATTGTGAAATTGTGGGAGACAGGCAGAGTGTCACAGGTGTGACCTGAAAGTATTACTTTTGTCAGGGATCCAGAAGTAGACTGGAGTGGCAGTACGTGAATGGTAGATATAGAGCTGCAACAATTATTCGATTCAAATCCACAATGGAAAACGTTGTTAAGGTTTTCCATCATCAATTCGTCAGCAATCAATTACAAAGCCTGTTCGCTGCTCCATACACAAGCCGCACGCCACGCCCACTGCACACGCCACACCCACTGCACATGCCCGCAGAGCCAAAGAAGCCAGAGCTTCCTCGCCGCCGCCGCAGCGACTTTCAAGGGTTCAGAAAAAGGTAAGGGGGACCTGTTTTAATGTTTCCTGTTTTCAAAAAAAAAAACGGCACACTGCAGAACACCAGCAGCTATAGAGGAACAACAAGTCCCAGCAATAATACATTAAACAGCCTGTATAATGTATTATTGCTGGGATCTGTTGTTCCTCAATAGCTGCTGGTATTCTACATTGTATAATTCAGCGGCACAATGCAGAATACCACCGACTAGATAGATACATATATATATATATTCCGGTCGGTGGTGTTCTGCATTGTGCCGCTGTATTATACAATGCAGAATACCATGCACAATACAATACAGAAAACCAATGTATAATACAGCAGCACACTGCAGAACACCAGCAGCTACAGAGGAATAACAAATCCCAGCAATAATATATTAAGCAGCCTGTATAATGTATTATTGCTGGGATTTGTTGTTCCTCTATAACTGGTCAGTGGTATTCTGCATTGCGCCGTATAAACATTATACAGCGCAATACAGAATACCACCAGCTATAGAGGACTACAAAGCCCAGCAATAATACATTATACAGCGCAATGGAGAATGACACCAGCTATAGAGGAACAACAAATCCCAGCAATAATACATTATATACAGCGCAATGCAGAATACCAGCAGCTACAGAGGACTACAAATCCCAGCAATAGTGCATTATAGTATAATGTACTTTTGCTGGCATTTGTTGTATTCCTCTATATCTGCTGGTATTCTGCATTGCGCCGTATAATCATTATACAGCGCACTGCAGAATAACGCCAGCTACAGAGGACTACAAATCCCAGCAATAGTACATTATAGTGTACTATTGCTGCAATTTGTTGTATTCCTCTATAGCTGCTGGTATTCTCCATTGCGCCGCTGTATAATGTATTATATTGCAAACCACACTTTTTTTTACTTCCACCGCTCCAAGCTTGCTCCCATGATGGACTACAATCTCAATACAAAGTAGTAGTCCATCACTGGTGCCATTTATTTTTTATCCGATTAAACGAACTTAATAATCGGCTAACTAATCGATTTTGAAAATAATCGTTAGCTGCAGCCCTAGGTAGGTATGTGGCAAGTAGCTTATGGTAATTGCCGTAATGCAGATTTCTTACTTTGCCTACTACAGCCAAATTACAGGTTCACTTTGTCAAAGCAAAAATTTCCCTACCTAGGGTTAAAAAAAAAAAAAAAACACCTGCGATCTGATAAAAAAGAATTATGGTTTTCCTTTTAGAAATATGCAAAGATTGTTATTTTTTTTTATTCATTTATACTATATTTAAAAATACCTGTGCACGCTCTCCATCATATTTATATTCAGAGGTAAAAGCAGCTTCTTCAAACCTCTTCAGCACTTCACCAACTCCCTTAGTCGGGTGTGCCAACATTGGCTTTAATGGGACCCCTAAAAAATAATTGAATTATGATTTACAGGAAATGAACATATAACAGACTATTTGACATTTTGATGTAAAGGATTGAGACCTGGAGTAAGGTGGCAATGTTGGGGAAGCTCCTTAATTCCATGCTTCAGAAGTGCTGGAATAACGGCATCATAGTTTGGTAACTCACTGAAACATAAAACAGAGAACACAAATTTGACCTAAACACATGACATAAAAAATACAAAATATCAAACTGTTTGTCTACATGTATACCTGAAAGATGCTGATCAAATGAAATGTGAACCTGTCAACAACTCAAACACCTCGTGGGACCTGCACAAATGTAGTTACAAATGTTTACAATGTCTGACGGGTTCACTTTAGGGAGCAAGTTCCTATTAAGATCACATAGTAAGTTAACTGTTCATCATAAATAAAATATAAACTACGTATGATTTAGATATATCTCAACAAATGTAAATGTGTGGGAAAGATACAGGTGGAAAAACAAGATGTCGGGTTTCCTAACCTACACCGGAAATGATAGTTGGAAGGAGTTCCAGATCCAATTTAGGAGAATTAGCATTAGCAACAATATGCAAGAGTAATTCAGCTTCACCTACTGAGCCAAAATATTCTCATGATGTTGCAAACTATTACACCAACATGAAATATTATTTGAGTAGATATTGATCTAAATGTGTTCAAGAGAAGACACTAACCAGAATGTCTGCTTCAGGATCAAAGAATGCTCCTCAATCCATGCTTTTTTAGCCTCTGTGCTCATCCCCTTTGAGGCATCTATCACAGCAGGTGGAAACTCTGTGGAAACATATCACAAATGAAACTAAAAGAACATGAAAGTAATATTTCTTAGATGCATCTATGACTTAAAGTGACATTAAACCCTCAGATTTTTTAACATAAAACAATAGTGTAATGTGTGCCTTACTGTAATCCGTGATTGTTTCCCTTCTCTTTGATGCTCTTCCTTTTAAATCTGTATCTTTTCTCATGCTTGGAGAGAACTTCCCTTTTCAGCTCAGGGCCTCTTCTTGTAGTGCTGGCTCAGGTTACAGCCTATACACAGACACCGTGTGAGACAAGGCAGTCTGCTGAAAAGGGAAGTTCTCTCCAAGCATGAGAACAGATACAGATTTAAAAGGAAGAGCATCAAAGAGAAGGGAAACTACCATGAATTACAGTAAGGCGCACATTACAGTATTGTTTTATGTTAAAAAATCTGAGGGTTTAATGTCACTTTAAAATAGACTTATGATTTGGTCTAGGATGCCTGTACAGTTACCCCTGTATTCTTTGATTAGAGCATAAAAAAGATACAGCCATTCAAAAACCACACAAAGACAAAAAGTAATTGCTACAATGACAGCTTTTCTCAACCTCCAGATGAACCAGTGAAATAGTTTTAAGGTCTCAGGCATCCATTCCTTACAGTGCTGGCCAGTGAAGAAGGTCACCCCCTTACAATGGCGGTCAGTGGAAAAGTTACCATACATTAAATGGTCAGCAGAGTAGAGCCTCTAATATTTATAGTCGGTGGGACAAGGGAATTCTCTCATTGGTGGTCAATTGAAGGAATAATGTGATCAGCAGAGAAGTACCCTCACTTACATTTGTGGTCTGTGGAAACTTGCCCCCTTAAAGAATTGGTCAGTGGTAAAGTCGGCAGCGAAAGGCCCCTTACATTTATTCACACTTGTCTGTTTCAATGCAGCAAAACTCATACATTTTGCTGCACCGCATAGAGAACACTCACTGTTTCCTATGTGGCTGGTTCACATCTGTGTGATGCAGTTTAGTGTGAAAATTATAAAGGTATACTATATGGGACTAATTCACACCTATGCATATGCATTACCTCATGTGCTGTATACACACGGACCCAGCTTTAAAGACAGTAGGAAAAGGGCCCTCATATTGGAGGACAGTTAAAGGAAGATTGACCTTTAAATTAGTGGTAAGTCAATGAACCCTTAGCAACCTCTAGAGGGACCGTAGAGTTCCATGAAACCCTGTTGGAGAAAGGCTGATCTAAAGTATTGATTAGAAAATTGATCATACCCTGTGAGGTTATACCCAGAAGGGGCAGGGCTTAGCATACTGTCATTGCTTCCCACTGCAGACACCTATAGTACTCTCTCCAAGCTGAACCAGACTAGCGGTCCTCTGCATGTGGCCAGGACAGTTCTCCCCCAGCAGCAGGGGAATCTTTGTGATTACTGCCACCTCCTGGGATCTTGTTTGTAAGTGTATTTTATTTCTGTAAATTACTACACTATGGTGGTGGTTTGTGCCATTTACCTCTGCTTTGTTTAATAGACATTTCTTTAACTCCTATATGTTATGACTGTGATGTTACTATTGCAGACAATATTTCATTTTACAATATTTATTTTTAGGTCATATTTACATTACAGAAACAGTCAGCTTGGTGTGCGTCGGTGATAGTGGGAGGAAGGGAACTTGAAAAAGGACATGAAAAGATGTAAACAATCCTGTGTATTTGAGGAGAACATGATAGCACTCTGGGAATGCATATCTGTATGACTAAAACACATATAAACTTAAGGACCATTTTATTTTAGTTCAATAACAGAAGCCTGCAGGACACCCACATATTTTACAAGAGAATGGTGGCGTCTATGCAACCACTGATCGAGCCGAATATCAAATCATAAACATGTTGTAATAAGGATATCATGTCACAAACATGTTCAAAAGAGAAACCTTAACACTGAAATCAAGCAATACAAAATGATGACTCTTTAGACCAGTTATGCCATGTGTACCTAAAATATGTACATCATACCTTGGCCTGGTGGTGTAAGGCACACAGCCTGTGAGATAGCTGCCAGAACAGATAGCTCCGCCAATCCTATTCGAAGTTTTCCTCCTAAAGATCTGAATGTCACAAAAAAACAAATACACCAAAATCAGAAAGGTCTAATATAAAAAAGACAACTCGCAAAATTAAGATGGTCAATTTTGTAGACAAAGCAATGCAATATACTCAAGAGAAAGCCTGTATGCAAAAAAAAATGTCCCCAGGCGTGGATAATGCTGAATAAAGCATTCATCCCAGTTTATAGGAAACCTGTACTTCGGGAACTTGTATGCTGCCATAGCTGACCTCTTTTCCTAAATATGTCATTTATTTGGCTTTCATGTTTATTTTATAGCTGTAATACTTTTGTGCCACTGACCTGGAACAAGTCTGCTGACCTTACATGGTACATGCTAGTCCTAACTTCAGTGAAACAATATACAGAACTGTACAGAGGCGGCCAGGTCACTAGCAATTTCTTGAAGTTATGGTTATGTGTCATTGCAGGTGTTCTTTGTGCTCTTTTTCCATTAATATTTCCTTATGCAACCCCCAATCTCCTGATACCCAAATCCTTTGGACGAAAAATTAAATCTAAGCACTGCTGCTATGAGCATGCTGCAAGATGATGTCCTTACATGCAATCTTTATGGAGTCTCACCAAAACTCAGGTAATTGCCAACAAGTTACCACCATGCTGGCCTCAAAGGTATTTGTGTAACCCCCTTCACTCCCCCAGGAATCTACGCATGCTTACCTGATGGTAAAAATGACTTACCTAGCAATGTAACGTGCTTCAGAATGCCTGCATGCCACAAACAAGCCTTTAATGACATCAATTTTCTTATTCATAGACTGAAAACAAAGAGGTATGCATAAATCATGTTCATATATTAGACACTTTATAAAACCAGTATAAATATTGTATACTACTGCTGTCACCCTAACTCTGCAACAATACAAATGTTTTATATTTTTCAACTTCTAAATATTGGCAATTTCAATTTTAACGTTCATACATGAAGACAGACAATCTGTAGAAATAAAACAAATAATGCAAAGAAAATATAGCATGGAGTAAAAATATAGACAGACAGACAAGCAGCAATGTCCACATTTCTTAATAATATAAAATAGGATTTCTATGAAAAATGTACGTCTCCTATTTCAAAAAAGTCCCCTTGTGTAGAAACATGTAGGGCTCTCTGTTTTCCACAGCATCAGGGATCCCAGGAATCAACACATGTTAAGCTCCATGTGGGTGGTTGATGTGCTTGGTGGATAAGAACACTCGTCATGGAAAAAATGTGTGGGCTGCCGTTTCTGAACAATCTGGCTGTCCGTCTTTGGCCATGAAACTTCCTGAGTCACTGACTGGGAACAAGCATGAAGCCAATGAAGTCAACTTTAACTCCTGATCAACATTAATGTTGGGGTCTATGACTCATTGAAACAGAATTGACAGCCTGACAACTAGCATTTTAGAGGGTTAGCAATGCCAGCCTGAATGTATTTCTCCGCACACGGGAGTTCCAGTTTTGCCAGGAACGGTCACATTTGGTAGTATTCAAGTATTCAGGAATTTCATCTACATCTCCACCTGACTATATCTACCATCGCGACTGTTCCAGTTAAACATAATTATTTTGTACAAGGGCACAAAGTCTGCCAGAGATTGATTTTAATCCACCAACTAAATATAAATAACATCAGGACTAGAAGTCAGAGGTGCTGGCCAAGGACTTAAGACAAGCTCTCAAGTTTCACTGAAGCAGATAATCAGCAATAAATATAAATGATGGGGGGGGGGTGCCTTATTGTCATACACCACCATCTATTTCCCCAGTGTAATGGGAGCAATAATACATCTTCAGACCAGTTTTCATTACCAAAGTGTCTCAGATATGTAATAGATCTACTAATCTATTTTTGTATGTAGGTGTAATTTACCTAAATGCATATCAATAAAGAACAGCTGAGGTACTTTTGTTTGATGCCCACATTGTATAAAACAAGAGTGGCCTGTACCATCTTCAAGTCTTGCATCTCACATCTGTGAGTGTTCTTTCTGCTTTGCATCAGCATAAATTATTTTAGCACTACACTCAATCAAAAGAGCATAGCATATATGACTTGCAAAATCTCTTGGCTTTGCATGGCATCCCACAGGCCAAAGACAACTGTGGTAATGTTTAGAAAAAAAATGGAACACTAAAAGATGACTCAGTTGCATTCAAGCAATTTTATATATTAAAAGCCCAACTCAACAATTCATCATATTGTTTTTTCATGTCTTTCTAGACAAAGTTTCACCTCAACTGGTAGAGCACAGCCATGGTCTAGGAGCCAGCTATTTGACCTTTTGTCGCCTCAACAAAAAACTGTTCTCTACACTTTCAGAGAATTCGGCTTACCTTCAGATCCTGCGCCACGCCTAACTAGACCTTTCTGCTATATCTTTAATGGGTACACACTGCTGCACTTCTAAAGCGTAAAAGTACTGCACATAGCAGTCAAGTATTAGCAGTGTGCATCTAGGATAAGAAAAATGTCAGCAGAG